GGGAAAAGAATTAGAGATATAATATCTTAGAAATATTTATATATTAATAATGTATATTATTAAAGGTATATGGATAATTTAGAAGCATAAAATAAAATGTGAGACCATTTCAACAGCCCTTAAATAAATATTTGAGAATAATGTCTAAAATCATACAATCATCATGGACATGGAAATGAAATAACTGATGTAAGAGAGGTACAAAATAGAGAAAATGACCACCATCCCACTAGGCATGATGTTGGAAAAATGAATCCTCTCCTACTAATGCAGAAATGGGGAAAAAGTTAAAAATCATAGCCAGAGGCTCAGGATTTACAATCCTTTAGTCTCCTTCAGGGGGCATAACATTTAAAACAGAAACTTTATTTAGCTCTCAAACATTTATATTATCATCCAAACAATGAGGACAAATTTATTAATTGAAAATGTTGGCTAGATACTTACTATTCCAATTAGTTCCTCTGTTCATTAGATATTAGCTGCTGATGTCTAAGAGAAAACTCCCATTCTATAATTTCCAATCACCAATTTTTAATAATGGATGTGGCTTTATGGGTTTGAGTGATAAAAATACTATACACAATTAAATAAGTATATAAAAATTCCAGGACAAAGAACAGTGACAGCAAGCCAATTTGAACGAAAACAATGAGATGGCATTAGGATTTGTGAACATTTGATACATAAAATATCAAGCACAACATGTATAAGGTTGTGAGTATAGGAGCCAATTAAATCCACCTCTAATTGCAAAACTCTTGGTAAGGTTTGTAAATTTCACCATCCATGAAAGTCCAACTTTATCCATCAGATAAGCAACAATCTTCAAAAAAATGTGTAAATACCGAAAAGCCTGAAGTAGAATATCGAAGTGCAACGTTTGCTTACATTTCTTAACTTTGTTTCATTGTAAGATACTACTTCCATTGCAGAAAATAATTTGATTGTAGTGATCAAAACACATGCATTAGGGGAAACCGAAAAATACTCAATACAGCATTTCATGCTGTTTCATATACATTCTACTGTAAAAAAGAATTTTTTTCCTCAGTTCCAAGGTGAAGGATCTGACTATATTTAAGTGATAGAAGCCACTCAGATAGTGAGTAGAATTTTGGAATTAACTTTACTATGTCAAGAGCAAATGGAGGATCTGTTCGTAAGCTGCTAATTATTTCACAATTAGCATTCTCTCTGTTCCCTCTTTAGTAATAGAACCCTATATTTTTGGGGGGTGCATGCCTGTTTTGGGGGGAGGATTATATTCCACATCCTGATGCAAATCGGCAAGGCTGGGCACTAAACTGGGCAATGGAGGCAGATAAAAGTGATGTGTACAGTTTCCAAACACACCCTTAGAGGCAAAGGGCATGTCCTCGACTGCTACTCGCCTCCTTCCTGTTCTCTAGAAAGCAAAAATCACTGTGTATGTTGGAGCACCGATCTTGGATCCCAACATCAAAAAACTATACTGAGGGAGGGAGAAAACTTGAAAGAAGGACCCTGAGGCCTAGAAGACTGAGACTCAGCACAGGAGGCCTTATATCCAGAATATTTACATGAGAGAGGAATAAACTTCTGACTTCTTGTAGCCACTTGTACTTTAGGTCTATAAGCCAAACCCATACACCAATCAATAAACATGGTTCATTTTTATTCAATGTTTAAGGGTTTCCAAGAGCAACAGTATTATATCTAAAGCACTTTAATCTTCACCAATAAAAAGTGTTAGTGAAATATAAATTAACTTACAGTTCTTAGTAAGTTCTCAAAAAATTTACATGAAATAGTAAAATTTTCCAGCAAACTTGACCCTGTAAGCAGTATTCCAAGAATATTCTGAACTGCAATGAAATCTGTGGCTCATCTCATCACCTGTAGCATGTCTTAGGTGAGAGGCAAACAGTTCCAATTTTAATAAGCTTTCATGCCCTATGAGTGAGTACAATTTTAAGGGTGGAACGGAGTGTGAACCAAAGTCTCTGATTCCAATCCTAGCCGTCTTCCTACTATACAGTATTCTTTGCAAATTATTCTGGCACTGTTCTTATTTATTTTTTTAAAGATGTTTTATTTATTTATTCATGAGAGACAGAGAGAGAGAGAAGCAGAGGGAGAAGCAGGCTCCCCGCAGAGCAGGGAGCCCGATGCGGGACTCGATCCCAGGACCCTGGGATCATGACCTGAGCCGAAGGCAGACGCTTAACCATCTGAGCCACTCAGCGCCCTCTGGCACTGTTCTTATTTATATGTCAAGAAGTGAAAATAGTTTCTCCAAATCCTGAGTGTCATTTTATTTTTTTTTTTCTGGGCATCATTTTTAAGTTTTAAATTCTAAAGTTGATATTTTGCTTTTTATAGAGTCTTGATTTAACTTGCCAGAAAGCTCATCAGTTGGCCAAAGAGAATGAATTTTTTTATAGGTATATTTATTTATTATTTTTGAAAAAGATTTCATTTATCTATTTGACAGAGAGAGAGAGAGAGTACAAGCGGGGGAGTGGCAGGCAGAGGCAGAGGGAAATGCAGACTCCCCTCAGATCAGGGGGAGCCCAATGCGGGACTTGATCCCAGGACCCCAGGATCATGACCTGAGCCGAAGGCAGTCACTTAACCAACTGAGCCACCCAGGTGCCCTAGGTGTATTTATAACCCATGGTAATATTATAGACTTTTGGGGGATGGGAGAAGGCAAAAAAAAAAACCATGTCAAGTTCACTAGGTTCACTTGTATTAATCCTTTTCTCCCCTACACAGAGTTTTATTTGAATATAGGAATAAACATCTGTACAGGCAAATTATGAACTTGAGCACTGAGCACAGCTCAAGTGTTAGAAGTACACGCCCCATGCATACTTTTCCATTTATAATGGACATATTGCTAACTTTGCAGCATAGTGGTTGAATACTATTAATTTTACTATTGTACTATTCAATTATACCCCTGAATACTAACTGGGGTGACACTCACTAAAAAGTTGCATCTACATCTGTGCCTGTGATTATTAAAATCTTGACAAAGAAAACTCACAATTTCTATGCAAAATAAAAGAACTTTCTAATTAAGAAGCAAACTTGACTTAATAAAACTGTTTTATGTGACATGAAAAATAGGACTTTCTTAATTAGTTTAGATGAAAGAAAAACAATATTTGCAGTATTGGTTCATCATCTTTAGGCAACACTCAACTGGCAGATTGGACCAAGCATGTCAATCCCTCCACTTTATTTATTATGAAAATCTTTGTCATAGTTTTACAGACTAACTGCTTTTAAAAAGCTGTAACTGGTGTACCACCAGGAAGGTTGATAAAGATTTAGCATCTGTATTTTAAATGACTATATAACTTTTAAATATCAAATACTAATCTTAACAGTGAAACGAAATGTCTGTCCAAAAATAATATTCATTCTAACACCAATCAGTAAACTATTGTTTAAGATTTATTTAGAGAAAGAGAGAGAGAGAGAGAGAGACAGTGTGAGCAGGGAGAGAGGGGCAAAGGGAAAGGGAGAGGAGAATCTCAAGTAGACTCCCCGGTAAGCACAGAGCCCAGTGCTGGTTTTCATCATCTCAAGACCTGAGCCATCAAGATCATGACCTGAGCCTCAATCAAGAGTCAGACACTTAACTGATTGAGCCACCCAGGTGCCCCCCCAATCAATAAACTATTAAAACATTTTGTGTTAGCTGTTGGTTTGCCCTTAATAAACATCCTACCTCATTAAAATGATATACATCATTATCATAAAAGGATAATAATTATCATAGAAGCACTAGCAAAACACCTATGTCTAGTAAAAAGAAAACGCTTTTTAAAACAATCCTAGTTCTTCATTTATTAAATGAAGAAAACATAACCTCCTCTCTTCACAGTGTCATTTTAGAAATTAAATATAAGAATTTGTGTAGAGTGGTTAGCAGCATGCAGGCAAAATAGTGCTCAATAAACTATGATGTTCACCAATAGTAGTGGTGGTGCAATTTGGGAAGATGTGGCATTTCAAGCCTACTATCTTGTGTTGTTTTTTAATTTTTTTAAAGGCCAGCTTTACTTGATTTATATATTTTTTTCACACTCCCATGAGGTAGCTGGAAAAAAGTAGTATACAAATATTTTTTGATTCAGAAAAAAAGTATGAATAACAAATAATTTTTTTATATTTGTTCACTGATAATCATCCCAGGCTCATGGAAGAACATCGAAAACACAGGAAGTCCTCAACAAACATTTCTGGATACATAAACAAGTATACATACAAATTTTTTCCTGATAAAAAAAGTCACAGATATGATAATTTAAATGAACTTAAGTGTAAAATTTCGTTTTATAATTTTGTAAATGCTTCCACCATAGCTAAGTAATTAAAATGTCTCCCGACAGTCCATCCAAAGGTGGCAACATGAGAAGTAACTTATTTGTGCTAAAATAATCCATGTTGGAACATCATCTGAATATGTACATTACAGTCATCTGTTTAAAAAGGCAGACTGAACCACTCATTATGCTTCAAAGATTGGCTGGGCAAGGCCAGCTGTTGTACCATTTCCAGGGTGTCATTCACACTGTAGGGGAAATAAGTGGTCCCCCCTGGTGTGTGCGGTTCAGGCCAGAGGAGATCTGCCTTGTAACCCGCGTAAAGCGCTGGGCAAAAGAGATGGATGGGACCCAACCTCTGTCTGCCACATGGCTAATTGAGTGCAGGGTAATCTGAGTCAGTGCAGTGGATGGAGGTCTGGACAGGAGGCAGACAGAGTTCAGATCCAGAGAAACATATGGCGTTTCTACCTTGGAAGATGCCAATGATAATTTGTTAAAGATCACATAAGCCCTAAAATTCATCATTACCTTGTTAGATCCAACCAGTAATTCTGCTGATGCTATAGAACATTTTCTGAAAAATTCAACCTGCTAGGTCAGCTTGTTCTGTAAAGCCAGTCATCCTAGCATAATTCAGTTTATCTTGAAATTTAATGTAAAACTTTTAATACTCACATCAAGATCATCCTTTGCATTGTAGTAGACAACTTCATTGCTCTATAAAAAAAAAGAAGAGTGCTTTATTGATTTGAGTAAAAATGTAAAAATATACTGAATGCAGCACTGAACACATTTTATGCATATTTTAAACAATAAATGCCTCGTGAGATTCCTCTCATAAAATACTCCATGAAGATCCATAAAGATTAGCCAATATTTTCTAAAAACATATTAAAACACTGTATCAGTGATACTGGAAAGTACATCTTGCATTGAGGAAAAAGTATATCAGCATAGATCTGAGACCCATTTGCCAAGAAAAAATAAAGAATGCATGATGCAAAGAAATTATATATATACACACTCACAACACATACATCCCTAAGTCAGGAAATTATGAACAGAATAATTCAAGAAAAATGTAAGAATGTGGTTTGTTAATACTTTGCTGACAACGTGACTTTTAAAATATATATATATATATATCACACGTTGAAATTAGTAAGGAAAGGTGTATCCGGACAGTATTGGCAGAAATTTCTTCATGAGATTCAGAAAAGGGATCAAGAATAATTGAATTTAGATGGCAAAAAAATCAGATGCTCTAACACACTAATATTATCATATTCTATCAAAGTGGTGAATGAGCATTGGCTCTTCAAGAATAAATGTATTCGGACACTTCTGCCAGCCCCAGTGTTGCTGAAATATGCCATAACTATAAATTATGGATATGAATTGTGTTACAGAATGAAAATGGAAAGGAAATAATGAACAAAATGATTGTCAAGGCATTTAAAAGTTTTATTCTTTGAGGCTTCAAGACTAGTTCTATGCATTGTTAAAATAATCCACTTATACTGATTTCCTTTTCCTTTTTTCTGAACTGATTCTAAATATAATCCATCTTTCATACGTCTTCAGTAGTAACTGGAGCACTATGCAAAAATAACATCAAAAACATGGATACTCTAAAATTCTATTAAGAGAAAATGTAATACACATTTTTTAAAAAGAAAATTACTCTAAACATTTCAATAAATTAGCACTTCTTAAAAGATATACCACCTCCACTAGTTAAAAATCACTAGTTCTTCAAGACATTCTATGGCCCTTTGACTTTAGAATAAGCAATGAAGTTAAAGTCATTTCTTTTTGGCTTCTAAGTCACATATGAAGTACATTATATATCTTCAAGAATAAAACAGATCTTGTTGTGTTTCTCAAACTTATTTGCTGCCGAAACTGCCTCCCTTTTTTAATTTGAGAAATATATCATGAGCCTGAAGTTCTATAAAAGATAGACTGCTCTAAGACCAAACTAAAAACTATATTAATAAGTAATGGAACACATAATTCATAATAGTGAATGAAACCATGACTTCGAATTTATTTCATTTAGAATAAAGAGCTCTAAAAATTACCATTTAACTAATTCTTTTAAAAAAAGAATTAAGTAGCTAAAGAATTTTGACATGCATAAAAGTCTTACTTCCTGAAGCCTTTCTTACAGCATTAATTTTGTAACAAAGTTAAAATACAAAATCAGAATTCATCACATACACAAAGCAAGAGAATCTTTGGAATCCACCAAAGTCCCAAATCTAATTACTAGTTTATTGATCCTTCTTGCAACTCTGAAATTTATACTTAGGAGACAATTTTCCACTTAGAATGTGGATTCCATCAAAAGATAAAATACTGAATGAGTTTATCTTCATTTTAGACTTTATTTCTGCCAAGTTCTTCCTTATATTTACAGAACTGAAATGTAGAAAACAAGGTGAAACTGCATGAAATCTTAAGTGATTCAACATTATTATTTTCAACAAACATTCATTAAATATCTATATGCACACGTTGCTGTGCCAAGAGAGACACAAAGTAAGTTAAATGTACCTACCCCTATCCTTTCGATAAAATAACAGATACAGGTCAATTATATAAAACAACGAAAATGTTTAGACTTACATTTGGCCCATGGTACTAGAGCTAATGGACTAAATTGTTGAAATGTTTTTTCTTATATGTGACACAGGGTCACATATAACAAATAAAAAAGAGAATTTAATTAAACCTAAAATTAGGAGTATCACATACAGTGTCAAAACTGTATAGAGTACAATAAGAATGCCAGTTTTAACTAAAACTAAGTATTTTGATTCTATTACAATAAAGTGTGCCTGAAATAAAAATAAAAATGAAGAAAAACTAAGTTTGAGAATTTTTCAAATGTTTTTCCTCTTGTTACTGCACTATAGTTTATGTAAAATCCTATTACTTTCGTTCTAGAAACTCTATATTGCTTCTAAAACTTACTGAAAATGTGTATTGCAAAGTTTATTTAAATTTTATGCATTTGCACAAGGTCTTCTGGACTCCAGAAGACATAAGATCCCCAAAACTGATTTTTTTTCTAGTAAGTAAACTGGGGAGGGGGACACCTTAATCATAAAATTATACTGCATATACAACAACCATACTCATTGTAACTAGGGTATTTTATATTTCTACTTTTAAAAAGCTTTCTTTAGGGGCGCCTGGGTGGCTCAGTCGTTAAGCGTCTGCCTTCGGCTCAGGTCATGATCCCAGGGTCCTGGGATCGAGCCCCGCATCGGGCTCCCTGCTCCGCGGAGAGCCTGCTTCTCCCTCTCCCTCTGTCTGATGCCTCTGTGCTTGTGCTCTCTCTCTCTCTCTTCCTCTCTCTCTGTCAAATAAATAAATAAAAATCTTTAAAAAAATAAAGTAGCTAATTAAATACATCTTCTTAGACAGTTTGTCATGATTTAATAAGAGAACAAAGACCATAATGGAATTGCAACTGATTACATCCACTGCCTTACAACAAAATTTCCTCTTCACCAATACATGTGACATTGTCTTTGGCTTAGAAGCATTTTTTTTTTTTACCTAATTTTTTATAAATACTTTCTCTAACCCTAAACTTCGCAGTGAGAGCATGCACATTTCATTTATTCCCTGATTTTACCTAACAGAAAAGCTCAAGTGATCCACTTCAGTAAGCAGACATCCATGTACGGCATCAGGATTTGGGGAAAGTGTCACTGCATTTAATTTGTCAACCAGCACACTTACCTGGCAGTATGATACTAAAATAAGTGGCAAACATTCATAGAACATTTAATTTATATAACCATATATAAATAATTTTTATATATAACTGAGAGTTCCTCATGCTTTCTTGCAGAAAAGTACAATTATTTACTGTGGCTTTTGTTTAGGGTTGAAGAGTGGCTCAGAAAGAATTTTAAATATAAGCTTGAGGATAAGTCTAATTTGGTGAAGTCATAATTCTCTTTCCTATCACATTCATTTATAGCTATCTCCTCTGCTATATACAAATATATGACCTGTGTAGCTATGTTAAACTACATCAGTCTGAAATCGAATCGCTCAAAATATATCCAAACCCAATCCCAACAGGATTAGGATAAAAGACAATTCTCAGGAATAAAGGACAATTCACACTGAATCAGCCTAATTTTGATGTTCTGGTGTCTTACAGGAGTGACTTGTCAGTTAAAATTAACTCCGTGCTAAAAGAAAATTAGGAGACCAAATTGTATAAAAACAATTAAATGGCTTGAGGGGGGCAGAATTAAAAAAGAGGAAGTATCAACTGAATTCTCTCTTCCTTTACCGGGTCCCCTGCCTCCATCCCACTTAGATTGTGTACAAGGAGAATTTTGGGTCTCCCAGCCAACAGAGGGAGCCACACCTCACTCCTTCAACAAACTTTGGCAACCTCCCTTGGGAGTGTTTGGGAGAAATAAAAATGAAGACTATCTATGCCCTGACTATAAGAAGCAAGTTTCTCACCCTCCTGATACACAAGGGGCAGGAATATCAAGAGTCAGTTGCTCTGATCTGCTATCACTGAAGAAAATCTCGTGTCATCCTTGGATAACATGACCACACAAACCAAAACTTTCTCAGGTTTCAAAATACGTGAGTGAAGAACTTCAGAGAGCCAAAATACGCCTCCTCTATTTACAATCAATTCAAGCACGTGTGTATATGCATGTGTGTGTGTTTCTGATTCATTTACCTTTCCTATCGCTCAAACTTCCCTCAGTCCCTCCTTCCAGAAAATAAAGTTATGTCAGTTATCCTTTAATATTTTAAAACGATGGCATATAAGCTAATTACCATAGGCACAGAATACAAAATTGAGTCATCTTGTTTCTCTATTATCCTTTTGGCTAGATGTTTTCTTTTTTTAAAAAAGATTTTATTTATTTATTTGACAGAGAGAGACACAGCGAGAGAGAGGGAACACAAGCAGGGGGAGTGGGAGAGGGAGAAGCAGGCTTCCCGTGGAGCAGGGAGTCCGATGTGGGGCTCGATCCCAGGACCCTGGGATCATGACCTGATCCCAAGGCAGACGCTTAACGACTGAGCCACCCAGGCACCCCTGGCTAGATGTCTTCATGCAAATTATTAAACAGCATCATCTTGGAAGGTATTTACACTCAAATAAAAAGGTTTTTAGTGGATTTTAGGGTATTACATGCAGTATGATAGGATAAAGCCAGCAACAGCTTCAAACTAGATTCAAGATTAGTGAAACCTTTAGAGAGCTATTTTTCATCATTTGAGCACCACCAGATGACAAGAACAAATTGTTTTGTTTCTGATTTTTAACCAAGTAGTTTAGTTATTTATTATCTCCTCGAAACAAATTTACCCAAATGTTCCACGCTACTATAATACCGCTGCTTGCTGAAATTTAAAGCATCCCCTAGCAAGCTGAGAGATAAATTACTTCAGTTTCCCATTGTCTACTGGGAGTCAAAATTAAATCTGGACAAAATAGACCATTCCATCTTAAAAACGTATATTGTGAGTGACAGTCCCTTGCATGCCACTCTCCTATAAAAGTTGGCCTCTGATGAATAGAATGAATTTATGTTAAAAATCGGAAGCAGAAGTACAAAGCTTCCACATGGAAGTAAGATGATGCCAAAGAAAAGATTTAAATATTGGAACTGAAAATCAGGATTTTATAGCCAACATCTGAAATATATGACACATTC